CGAAACCTTGAAGATTGACATCTCCAAGTATAGGGGAGTCGAAGAGGACTCCCTCTTGAGATGGTTCGTCGAATTGGATGACGCCATAAGGGCGCGTAGAATCGACGACGGGGATATGCAAGTTGCATTTGCCCAGTCAAATCTGGCAGGACGTGCCAAGACTTGGGCACTGGGGCTCAAGTTGCACAACCCATATGCGTTTGGATCGTTGGAAGTCTTCAAGTCGCGGCTCAGACAAACGTTTGAACCGCCTAGAGCTGAGTTCAGAGCTCAAACCGAACATTTGAAGCTCAAACAGGGTAAGCGTGATGTGCACGCTTACGCGCCACATATACGCCACCTTACGAGTTGTATAAGTGCCGACCCGGTTGATGAACACACGTTGGTTTCGGTGTTCATGCAGGGTCTTGCGGATGGTCCCGTCAAGACTCACCTGTTCCGGCTTGAACTGGATTCACTAGAACGAGCCATTTCTATGGCGGAACAGAAAGACTTCAGTCTGAGACATGCTCGCGCCAGATCGACATCATATCGTCCACCGAGACGACATGACAGCGGAGTTCCAGAGCCGATGGAATTCTGTTATGTAGAGAGCGAGAAGGCTCGCTCTACAGACTACAAGAAGTTGCAGAAATGCAACAGATGTCAGAAGACAGGACGCTACGCATACGAGTGTATTGCCCCTCGTCCAGTGTCTCGCAACACTGGGCGTAATGACCGTCCACCCATGAGAAAGGGGCACGGACGCGGGTCCGCTCTTGGTGCAAAGACGCAACAACGGGATGGACCGTCAAAAAACGGACAGGATCAGTAGGTGCGAAGCACCCTACTGGTCCAGCAACGTCAAGACAATTTGCAGGCCTCTTGATGAAGGTTGCTCCCAACACACAAACGTTGTGCGTTGCTGCTCTAGGTAATGAGATCTCACTCATTACCTTGAAACTCGAAGTGACAAATAAGTTGTCCCTTCGAGCTCTAGTCGATTGTGGGGCGTCCAACAAGTTTGTGCGACGCCAACCGCTAGAAGATGGTCACTTCAAGTTTGTTGAATGTGACACACCTCCTACGAAGATGACGGTACGTCTTGCGACAGGCGCATCTGTAACCGTCATGAAGCGTATAGTGAAGATCCACTACACGCTAGAAGATACCCAATGTGACCGATGACTTTATCGTAATGGATTTGGATGACAAATTTGATGTCATCCTTGGAATACCGTGGCTCAGAAGGTACGAACTACGGGTAAACTGGCAACATCGAACAGTAACGATGCCTGCTGCTTATTCATCAGATGGCCATCTGATAAACGTTTTGGAGCGTCCACAAGCGTGTGGATGTGCTACGAGTGAGTGCGATGGCCTCACTTGTGGTACGGTCGTTAGTACGACTGCACAAAACCTTAGTGTACCAAACGGTTACACTTCGGAGCAAAGTTCCGGCGGCTGTGAGGAAACACAGGCTGCACCGAAGGTCCACCACTCGAATAAGTCGAGTGGACCGGGACAAAGATGTATCCCTAGCGGGGAACATCTAGAAGAGAAACAATCGATCGCTCAGGTTAAGCGAAACGACAATCCTAGATCGACTGGAGAGTCTTTCGTAGAGGATCTCGCTGTGTTCGCGCAACCCCAGCTAGAGGAAGTAAAGGGAAAAAGTCCCAAGATTACAATACGGCGGAAATAAGTTCCCCGAAACCCGCGAGAATAAGTCCCCGGGAAGCCGAAGGAATAAGTCCTTCGAGGCCTGAGGGAATAAGTCCCCAGGAAATGACAGAGACATTGAATGTACTCGTCAATGACGGATCAAGTGTAGGCGCTTATACACTTGATCTGATTGCGCCTCCGAAGTTGACTTCGGAGATCACTCAGTTGCCAACGCTCGAACACAAGGTTCTTGCGTGATATGCGTAGTGGCAAAGTCAAGCAGATCTGCGTACTCATCGCTGACGACGAGTGTGTAGCCGACATAGTGTCAGAAACAGTGTTTACTGAGAACGAGAGAGTTCTCAGTAGTTCATCGATGGACGAGGGTGTCCTCGATGAAAAGACACGAGTTGAGCGATATGACTCCCAATCGTGGGAATCGCTCAAGACGAATCAAATCTATGAAGATTTGGTTGAATTCAAGGATGTACTCCCTGAAACTGTTCCGTGCGAGTTCCCGAAGGATAAAGGTATTCGACACGAGGTCGAGCTTAAATTAGGCTCGAAGTACCGTGTCATGAAGCAGTGGCCACTGCCTCGTGAACAAGTACTTGCGATCGACAAGTTCTTTGCCGATCGTTTAGCTGAGGGTCATGTGAGGGAATCAACTTCCCCACATAGCTCTCCGACCTTCTGTGTGCGAAAAGCAACAGGAGGGTGGCGGATAGTGCATGCATTTAACAAGTTGAATGCTGCAACGGTACCGGCTCAGGCGCCGATACCAAGGAAGGACGTAATCATTGATGGTGTGTCAAAGAGTACCATCTTTTCGTCCATGGATTTGATGGATGGCTTCTATCGAATCCTTATGCGAGAACGGGACATACCCTATACCGCAGTGAGCACGACTATCGGCATGCTATGGGAATGGCTAGTGATGCCACAAGGGCTTAGTAATGCCCCTGCCACGTTCAGTAGATGTGTATGAACTGTTGAGGCCAGTACGAGAATTCGCACCGAGATATTTCGATGACGTCTTTATTCATAGTCGGGCTATGATGGAAAGTCGGACGTTGAGGTTCACAGGTACCACGTCCGACAGGTTCTTAAAATCGTGCGAAAGCATCAATTGTATGCAAACCTCAAGAAGTGTTAATTTGCAGCAAGCGAAATACCACTTCTTGGGTGCATCGTTGGTAAGAACGGTGTACGTCCTGATCCCAATAAGATCAAGGCGATCACCGACTGGCCTGTGCCAGTTGATGTCAAAGGTCTTCGAAAGTTCCATAGCTTGGTGGCGTACTTGCACAAGTATTCACGCAATTACGCCGAGATGACTGTGCACCTCTCTCGTTTGTTGAAAAAGAACGAGAGGTGGTTATGGAACGCTGAATGTCAACGCTCCTTTGATGGTATCAAGCAGAGCTTGATACAATCCCCAGTCCTAGCAATAGCCGATCAGGACAGGCCATTTCATGTGGTCTGTGATGCCAGCGATTTCGCATTCGGCTGTGCATTAATGCAGTACGATCTTGAAGGCGTTGAGCGCGTCGTCTTCTATCAGTCGCGTCAGCTTCAACCAGCTGAGCGGAACTATCCTGTGCATGACAAGGAACTCCTCGCCATGAAGTATGCACTCGCGAAGTTCAGAGTCTATCTCTTAGGAGATAGACCCTTCATTGTTTACACTGACCACGCGTCATTACGCACGGCAGTGAACAGCCCGCACCTTTCACAACGAATGGCGCGGTGGTTGTCATTCTTTGCAGAATACAACTTTACGGTCGAGTACAAACCAGGACGACTTAATGTCGTCGCTGATGCACTCTCACGTCAGCCCGACTTTGAACCAGTCGTGAAACCCAACAGTGGGACAGCAACTGTTGCGATTATGGCGTCCACAATACCATCTTCAACGTTGTATGATGATGTGAGGCGGGCGTATGCCCAAGATGGTGAGATTGTGAAGTTGTTGACACATCTCTCACAACCATCTCGAGAATCATTAAAACGATTGTCGCCTGCGTATCGATCTGCATCAGATCGATACACTACTCGCGACGGTTTACTGTATTACACAGCCGTTACTGGTCACACACCACGTGTTGTCATTCCAGATGACACTGATTTGCGTTGGCGGGTCATGTTCTAGTATCACGATGCTCCTATAGGAGGACATCGTGGCCGGGAGAAAACAAATCTCACGGTGAGTCGAGATTTTTACTGACCCCGCCAGTATCAGTTTGTGCGAAAGTACGTTCGCGCATGCGAAGTCTGTCAACGAGTGAAGTCAAGTCCTTCACGGCGTGCACCTTTACAGCCTCTACCGGTTCCGGCTGAGTGCTGGGATTTCATCTCAATGGATTTCGTCTTCGGGTTACCCAAAGACGCACGCGGGAATACGGGTATTCTTGTATTTGTTGACAGATTCAGCAAGATGGTACACCTAGTGGCTGTACCAGAGTCAATCACAGCAAGTGGCTGTGCTTGTGTCTTTATCGACACCATCTTCCGACTTCATGGGATGCCCCGTGAACTCGTATCAGACAGAGATCCACGCTTTACAGCTGATTTCTGGCGTTCCGTGTTCAAAGCACTCGGAACGCGCTTGAACATGTCGACGTCTGATCATGCAGACTCAGAGTCAGACGGAACGTGCCAATCGTGTCTTCGAAGAGATACTTCGAGGATACGTACACTCCTTTAAGAGTTGAAGTTAGTTTTTGCCAATGGTGGAGTTTGCATTAACAACTCGGTGCATGCGTCGACGACCCATACACCGTTTTACGTGAACGGCTTACGCCATCCGCGTGTACCCACCTTACTAGAGTGTAACTCTGTTTTAATGGGGGAGGGACTCCCGCGAGCGAAAAACCGATTTGGTTCACGCTCATCACGCTCTGACGAAGAGGTCATTGCGTTTGATGCCGACATCGATAGCATCGATATCGAAGAAGATGATGCCAGTGAGAGTGCGGAAGCCCTCACTGAAAAAAATATTGATGTTGCTGCAGTGCACTCACAGCGCACTGAAGCTAACGAGTCATCAGATGAGTTCATACTGGCTCGTGAAACGGTAGTCCGTCCTGTGCAAGACTCCTTCGCCGAAGCGGTGGATAAGCAGAAGCAAAACGCTGACAAGAATGGAAGGGCAAACAATCTTTTACTTAATAAAGGTGACTTAGTCCTACTGTCTACGGTTAATCTACCAAAGCATGTAGTGACTAACTCGGATAGTAGTAAACTTCCACCCAAGTACATCGGTAGATTTCGTGTATTGCATCGCCTAGGCAATGCACACACGAACGAACTGCCACGTAAGATGCGAACGCATCCCACGTTTTACGTTGGTCGGCTTAAGCCGTACCATCAGTACGCTGCTTCTTCCGATGAAGAACGCCCTTGCGCTCAAGCATCTCGCAGAGAGCCTTGTGCTCCCGATGGTGGGCATCGACAAGGGTCTGAATAGCAGTTATCTCATCCCGAGACCGATCAACAATCTCACGAGCTACCCTTAGCTCGTCACGCAGAGACGTCAGAGCTCTCTCGTTCCCAAGCGGAGCAAAGGCCAACTCAGCTCGATGCTTCGATACAGCGTACGTCAGTTGAAGACGCCTGTCCCGCTCATGCTCGAGGTCGCCGCGTAGCGCAAGAGTTACGCGATTAAAGAGGCTCTCGGAGACACACGCTTCCCCACGATTGTGTGGAGAGCGTTTTCCCTCCTCCTCCACCTCCATTAGAGGACTCTCGCGGTGGCCAGCGCTATCTGGTTGAGCAGCTGTTGAACCACCGCGACGTGAACGGACGTCGGACGAGTTATCTCGTCCGGTGGCGTGGCTATCCCCCGTCCTGGGATACTTGGGAGCCCCGCTCCCAACTGATGGTTGACGTACTGGGTCTGGTTGAGCAGTACGACGCGGTACATCCTGTGCCGCAGAAGGCCCGCCGGAGAAAGTTTTCCCGGCACGGTCGTAAAGGGATTTCAGGTTGTCAATCCCTTCGTACATCTCAGTAGAGATACTTACGCGCCACCACGGGCTAGTAAGGAGGTAAGCCTCCTTAGGTGCTCGTGCAGAGTTGTTCACACAACATGGGCACGAGTCTCCCCAAGGGAGGCAGGGTAATCCTTTCTCCCTTGACAGACGATGCAGCTTGTAGCGTGCACCTGCCGGGGTTCTCTTCTCAACTAATCACGAGCTTTGATAAGTTTGTCGTTCCAAACGTCACGACCTACATCCTCAAGGTTATGGATGTAGGCGTTCCACGCCTGAAGCAGTGAGGGACCATCACGTTTGTGATTCCCACTGTACCATCGATGTCTAAAGAAAGCATCGATGAAGAATTCATGTTCAGCGCGATAGTTTTTCGCGCTGGGGTCAAGGTGATGGATCCTTGACGAATCGAACAACCGTGTTCGATAACGATCACTCGTCGTCGCCGACAAGTGATCCATGACTGATTTTGGGGGCATCCATGCCTTCTTCTCAGGAGCGAGACGCAACACATTGCGGTCCCGCTCTTCCTGCGACGTGCCGACAGAAGTACTGGCACCTCGCTGTGAAGTGGTGTCCATAGGAGAACCGACACCACTATTAGCGCCCGAGTCTCGCGACCTCGAGCGCCTTCGCTTCGGCGATGGTTCATCTGATTCATCAGATGAACCAAAGATGCTGCGACGCAAAGCATCGTCCATGCCACGCTTTGCAGGCGGCTTGGATTCAATCGCCGTCGATACGGATCCGTCTTCCGTATCAGGAGAGTACAAGACACCGAGCTCTTACTCTGTGAAGACATGAGTGTCTTCATGGCCAGCGCCTGCATCACCAAATGACACAGGCTAAGTCGCTTCAGCAACCGATGAGACGTCAGTTGCTGTTGTTTCTGCTTCGGCGTCCGCACAGAGACGTGCAGACGCGCTGTCAGCGGCCTTGTTCGCGCACCGCATGGGCTTGTTAACCATGCGATGAAATGTTGGAAAGTGGACTCGGACCAACAAGTGCAAACCCTGTCCCAAATGATTTGGGACGAGTATCCATTTAGTCAATCAGTCACTAAAGTGATTGATGATTAAGGGGGGGGTGATGTAACGGGGTGAACCGTAACGTAACAATTTATAAGAAGTTGTTAATAGAATATAACTATAAGAGTTATATTCTCAGAATATTGTCATAAGGACAAATATTCTGTAGCACTTACGAGTAGTTCCTAATTGGTTGATATAGGCCATTATATCAACTAACGAAGACGCGCCACGACAGACGCACGCAATGAGTGGTGAGCAGATAGTTGATATACACATTTGTATTTAGACATAGTTAGATGAAGATAATCAGGGGGTTTATTGCAGACATTAACTATGATAAACACAGTTCTACTTTTTACTTTAACCAAGTACTCGCTTCTTCTTACCGTCTTCCTTTGCACGTACGAGTGTACGTGAAGTTCCGAGGCACCGCCTTATTCTGTCGTCAGAATAAGTAGCTTGTACTGTCACCAGTACAAGCTTCAGGGTGCCCCGTTACAATCCTAATGTACATTATCGTGTAATGAAGGGTTTCCGTGACACCTTCAACCCCCCCCCCCCTCAACACCAGTTACATGAGTAGCTGATTGATGAAAGCGTAAATTTGCTTGAGAGACTTTGGGACAAGATTTCACTTGTTGGCCAGCTGATTCAATCTATGTTCTAACAGCATGGTTTAGTCCATGGGAGGTGTAGCCAAAGCTACTACGATTGCATTTATGAGTCTCCGCTCCGCTACCACAAAGAGGACACAATCGCCCGAAGCAGATTAATTAATTATATCTAGTGCTACCTAATTTGAGCCTGCAGCAAGAATTGCTGCAGGCGCACGCGGTGATGCCTAGCGTGGCATCAATTTTGGGCTCGAGCTCTAAACTCGAGAGAGTCCGACGGTGATAGCGACTCGAAGGAGGCGATAGTATATAGTAATACAGAATTTGCTGAACTAGAGCCATATAAAGTATGTTGCCCGAAGCTTTAAAGGCCTCGCAGAGTGCCGTGACCTCTTCGGCTCGTCCAGTGAGTCCGAAGCTCCACTTCCAAGATAGAGTAGTTTGGATAACAGCAAATCACCCGGTTACTATGACCACCGGGAAACCTTAATGGTGGCGCAATCATTCGTCAGAGTCTGGGTGATCGAGGTGATTATGGTGTAATTACTTCTGATGAAACCAGGCAGGAGTCTGATGATCATAACATGTTTGGCGTTGCGCTTGAGAAGAATCCGCAATAACCTACTTAGAAATTGTTAGCTTGCCTGTTTGACAAAACGAGTAATTGTTATCGATTACGATTGTCCGACTCATCAAAGGTTCGTAAGCCGGATCTTAGTGCGAGTACTTACCGTACTTAACTTGTTTTTTTATCAATTCGTTCTATTAACATCAAAGTTACCGTAAATCACAAGTGTGGTGTTACCTCATTGTTTCAGGCATGAGACCCTTTCCATCCTAACATTGGTGAAACAAGGAGTGATGCCTGGCTAGCCAAGCTATTGCGTTCTCGAAATCGGTTTTAAAAGTGAATTTATACTGGTGCACGTCTAAACAGCATCGGCTGTCACGAGAGGACAAGCTTACATGCCTCTTTTGTAGTGATAAGTGCCAAAGTTGTTTAAATATTATAGCACGAGATCCGAAGTAAGCCTTTTCCATGAATTACCCCTGGTAGAGGGTAAGTGTAACTCAAGAGATGCATGAGGAAAGTTTAAATTTCAAACCCCTCTCGAGGCGCTCTGGGCATTCGTTCCCCGATGGGCCTTTTTCGCCATCGGATGCGCCTTTTCACACTGCTCGACGTGGCCTATAACATCAACCAGAAGTTGAAAGCAAGGCTTTCAATTGTCTGTCGAGGCTGGATATTCTTTTTACCGTATAAGTTAGCTCTTTCAACGTCCCTTTGATTCTTGGTGGTATTACAGGCGTTCTACGAAAATGCGTTATCCCCCGCGCGCATCGATCAATTGATGAGGTAAAGAGGGTATTTGTTCTCAGACAGATTTTTGCGGGCCCAATCTGATACCGGAGTCATCTCGAGTGCGTAATGACTTAGTTGCGCGAGTACATAGTCAAAAAAGAGACAGGAATTTTAGTTTGATTAGCGATGTTTATTGTCTCTCCTCGAAACGGGAGGTAGGGTCGATAAGACTTTTCCTTTCTCAACTTGTGGATGAGTGGCCACTACTTTCTCTTCGCGACGAGCTATGTAAAACTAGGCAGCATACCTTTCGGCTTTGCCAAGGACATATCCAAGCTTTAAACGCGGGATAATAGTCAGTGCCGCCAGCACAAGTATTTCTAATAGATGTTTGATCGCAAGAGATTTCCCCACTGGAAAAAGTTCGATGTGGCAATACGGCTTAAGGCGACCGAAGTAGTACGTAGGATGTGTTCGCATCCTACGTTCTTCGTCGGTCATTTATGCGTTGCCTAGGCGGCGCATCACACAAAATTGACCGATAATCGGGGTAGATATTTAACAACCTACTTTATACACAGTATGCTGGATTTTTTTTTGTTTCAACCGTTGATAGTAGGTCTTGACCAACTCTTTACAGAAATAAATAACAAATAATCCTACGTTTCGTTGGCGTTTTCATTTTGTCGGCCCACTGCTTCCGTAATGGAATCTTGCACGAAATAAACAGCTGTTTCGCAAGCTAATATGAACTTATTTGCTGACTTGCTGTCTTTTGCTACAGTTCTCTCTTAACACATCGAACCACGATCAATAAAAAATGATAAGATTACCCTGGCTTTAACTTTCCACATCACCACGGCAATCTATGTTATCAAAATATGCTCCAGACGTAGTGAAATCGCGGTCAGTACGCGATGACTGAGAGCAGATATGGCGTATGGTCGAATGAGTCCCTCCCTATTACAAATTTACTAATGGCAAGAAAACGCTCAAAGCTGTAGAAGAATAGGAGTGTGCTTAAGAGATTTCCTCAAGAACCTGTTGAGCACGTTCCGTCTGACCGTCTATTGAAGGTTGACTAGAAGTAGACATCTGAAGGCGTACACCGAGTATTTTAATCATCGATCGCTGGAATTTAGTAGTGAATTGTGGGTCTAGGTGAGAGACTACTTCACATGGCATCCCAGAAAGTAGAAGGATCCTGTAAAAACACGAGAAAAAACCGATGCAATTATACATATTTGGTAAAGCGACCAGGTATACCATTTTATTGATCCTATTTTACAATCACTAGCATGACGATTATCTTGAGTGGGTCTGTGGGAAATCCAAAGACAAAGTCCATCGAAACAGATTCCTAGCATTTTGCTGAAATAAGTGTTGCAAATGGCGCACGAACTGATGGAACTGACTTCACACGCTGACGTATCTCGCATGCGCGGACGTGCTTGCGCACAACCTGATACTGGCGGAGCCAGTATAAGTTACGGCTAACTCGTATATTTGTCTTTTCTTGACCACGATTTCAACCAGTAGTGACATCACGGTACCCATACATGGTGCGCTTTAGCAGTTCACCATGGCCCATACGACAACACAAGACATGTCGCCGGCAACGGCTGAGCATTTTAGTAAAACCTTTTTGGACTGTACATCCACCCCTGGAAGATCGATATACTGGGGGCAGCCCTTTTTACGGTTGACAAAGTAATTGCAAGAGATGGTAAATCAAACGCAACATTACTAAATGCACGCCTTTCTAGTGTTCTCGAATAAGGTTGACGGCGGGAAACTCGACGTCAACACCGTGACAGTGGTCGGAAAAGTGTAGGATTGCCTAGCTGGATCGAAATTGGGCCGGCACGACAGAGCATCGGCGACAACATTCGGTAGTCCTGGCTTATATTCCTCTAGAAGTTATACACCGTGAAGAGCGACAGCCACCTCATCATTAGTTGTGAGGGGTTTGAGGGTTTTACGGCCGTACATGAGGACACATGGTCCGTGTATATGATGAAAATTCTATCGCCTAGCAGGTATACTCTAAATTTCGCCGGAGCATACTTCATGACAAGGAGTTTTGTGTCATGGATCGGGTAGTTCTGTTCAGGCGATTGCAGCTGACGTTAATTAATATAGACGACACACTTAGCTCTGTGTACATCATAATATGGTAGTACACATTCAAAGGCGAAATCAATTGCATTGCAGACCACATGAATGGTCTGTCTTGGTCCGCAATTGCAAAAAAATGGCAAGCTTATTTACATTGGTCTCATATCTCCAAATTAGCGCTAAAATGATTAGCACTCTATGCTAAAATTTTGTTCTTTTCAAAGAAATGAGAGAGGTGGACAGTCATATTGGCGTAATTGTGTGAGTATCTGTGCAAATACACCGCAACACCAAAAAATCTTTCAGAGTCATTTTATCTCGGTAGGAATCGTCCAGTCAGTGATCGCCTTGATCTTTTCCTGAACGAGTCGTACGCCTTGCTTACCTACGATGGATCCAAGAAGTAGTATTTTGCTAGCTGTAGATGTAAACCTACTAAGGTTGGCATACAACTTTTACTCACGCATTAGTGTAAGAACCTCTTGGACGTACAGTCGGTGGACTCTATTTCACGTTTGTCCACCTATAGCCCGGCACCGGAATACACTTCATCTAAATAATTAGGTGCAATTATCACATAGACACAAAAGATTCGCAACGAATCTGAAAATCTATACAGGGGCATTACTTAATCCATATGTCATTACTAGCAAATCTTGTACCATACCGCTTAAGGTATTCACCACAGTGTACGGAATACCCCCTTCAAGCATAAGAATTTGGTAGTAATTATTACCA